AAAAAAAAAACCCAAATGAATGGTTTAAGTAAAAGAAGGCTGTGAGGGTTCGAAAATAAACCATACACTGCCGCCAACAAGATTCGAACCGACCTTTGGTTTACGAGACCAACGCTCTAGCCCTGATAGCGGCTGCAGGAATCGTTCACTTTTGAAACGAAAAATCCAACATGAATGGAGTTTAAGTAAAAGAAGGCTCCGAAAATGAACACATACACTGCCGCCAACAAGATTCGAACTTGCGACCTTTGGTTTACGAGACCAACGCTCTAGCCACTGAGCTATAGCGGCTGCAGGAATCGTTCACTTTTTTTGAAAACCAAAAAAATCCAACATGAATGGATTTAAGTAAAAGAAGGCTCCGAAAATGAACACAACACTGCCGCCAACAAGATTCGAACTTGCGACCTTGGTTTACGAGCCCAACGCTCAAAGCCCTGAGCTATAGCGGCTGCAGGAATCTTTCACTTTTAAAAACGAAAAAATCAACATGAATGGAGTTTAAGTAAAAGGGCTCTGAAAATAAACACATACACTGCCGCCAACAAGATTCGAACTTGCGACCAGGTTTACGAGACCAACGCTCTAGCCCTGAGCTATAGGGGCTGCGGGGTGTTCACTTTTTTAAAAACGAAAAACCAACATAAAATGGAGTTTAAGTAAAAGAAGGTTTAAAGGCGAAAATAACAAACTGCCGCCAACAAGATTCGAATTGCCCCTTTGTTTAGAGACCAACGCTCTAGCCACTGAGTTTATAGCGGCTGCAGGAATCGTTCACTTTTTGAAAACGAAAAAAATCCAACATGAATGGAGTTTAAGTAAAAGAAGGCTCCGAAAATGAACACATACACTCGCCAACAAGATTCGAACTTCGCCCTTTTGGGTTTTTACGAGGCCCAACGCTCTAGCCACTGAGCTATAGCGGCTGCGGGAAATCTTTCCTTTTTTGAAAACGAAAAATCCAACATGAATGGATTTAAGTAAAGAAGGCTGTGACGGTTCGAAAATAAACACATACACTGCCGCCAACAAGATTCGAACTTGAGACCTTTGGTTTACGAGACCAACGCTCTAGCCACTGAGCTATAGCGGCTGCAGGAATCGTTCTTTTTGAAAACGAAAAATCCAACATGAATGGAGTTTAAGTAAAGAAGGCTGTGACGTTTCGAAAATAAACGCATACACTGCCGCCAACAAGATTCGAACTTGCGACCTTTGGTTTACGAGACCAACGCTCTAGCCACTGAGCTATAGCGGCTGCAGGAATCGTTCACTTTTTTGAAAACGAAAAAATCCAACATGAATGGAGTTTAGAAGTAAAAAGGCTGTGACGTTCGAAAATAAACATACACTGCCGCCAACAAGATTCGGGCTTTTGCGACCTTTGGTTTTACGAGACCAACGCTCTAGCCACTGAGCTATAGCGGCTGACGAATCGTTCACTTTTTTGAAAACGAAAAAAAATCCAATATGAATGGAGTTTAAGTAAAGAAGGCTGTGACGTTCGAAAATAAACGCATACACTGCCGCCAACAAGATTCGAACTTGCGACCTTTACGGTTTTGCGAGACCAACGCTCTAGCCACTGAGCTATAGCGGCTGCGGGATCGTTCTTTTTTTGAAAACGAAAAAATCCAATATGAATGGAGTTTAAGTAAAAGAAGGCTGTGACGTTTCGAAAATAAACGCATACACTGCCGCCAACAAGATTCGAACTTGCGACCTTTGGTTTACGAGACCAACGCTCCTAGCCACTGGGCTATAGCGGCTGCAGGAATCGTTCTTTTTTGAAAACGAAAAAATCCAATATGAATGGAGTTTAGATAAAAAGAAGGCTGTGACGTTTCGAAAATAAACGCATACACTGCCGCCAACAAGATTCAGACGACCTTTGGTTTACTACAAGACCAACGCTCTAGCCACTAGGCTATAGCGGCTGCGGGATCGTTACTTTTTGGCAAAAAAAATCCAACATGAATGGAATATAAGTAAAAGAATGCTCCGAAAATGAACACATACACTGCCGCCAACAAGATTCGAACTTGCGACCTTTGGTTTACGACAGTGTTTCTCAAACTGTAGGGCGCGCCCCTGAGGGCGCGATACTCTTTCCCCGAGGGGGCGCGAGCATATCGAAAATAAAAAGATTTAAAAATAATTAATTTACTCTGGAATGGTCCCAAAACAAAATACTGGAACATAGTAAAAATGTACTTTTACTCTGATATAATTTATATACAATATAAGTCATCTCAAAAATAAAAACTATTTCAATACCTAATTAGCTATCTTTGATCAAAAACCAAATAAAAAACTTATTTTTATTTGCTGTAATCTCATGATAAGTGATTTTTACTACTCAGAGAAAAAACGAATCAGACCCAGAATAGAAAAAATTTAGGAACATAAAAATTCATCACTGTGCTTATTTTTGAAATACTGTACATTATAGCTGTAATCTGTTTTTGCTGATAATCTGTTTGACCTTCTAAGTTGGTACAGTTAGTTGACTCCTCTCTCATGTGTCTGTTTCTCATTTTAGGGAGATTTAAGTAATATTATTTATTTTCTGTGTTGAGCTTTTCCATGCAAAAGAGTTTTACTTGGATATTTGGAAAATCTCGGAAGCACTTTGGAGGATTACTTGGCCAAGACTTTTAACCCGGAGTGGTCGCGCCGGAACACCAGATCACAGAATCGTTAATTCTGGCAAAACTGTTTATTGTTACCAAGAAAAAATTGAAAAGTTCTGGAAAGTAGGTAAATTTACTTTCTCTTAATTAAATTATTCATTGGAATCACGATTTGTATCGTGTACAATAAAACAGTAAATATATATATATATGGGATTGGTGTGACTCAATAATCGTATCGAGTGCGCGCCTGCTCCCAAGGTTAAAACATGTTGAAGTCTTTTCGCTTTAAATATTAAAAAATAATACAATTATTCTTCATCGGAATTTTATATTATTGTTCATTATTTATAACATCAATTATAAATATACTGTGAGCTTAAGAGTACAATTCGCTTAAAACTATTAATTATAATTGGAGCCATCATTTTAAAAAATCATTTTACATTTTGTAAACATTGACACGCTCTTGGCTTTTACTCTCCTTACAATTCAGCTATTATATCCAATAATGTTTTTTATTTTCTTATAGATGAACTCTTGCAAAAGAGTGGGTACTTCAGCCGGTATACTTTTAATGTATCAGTTCTGCACAGAGTATTTTATAACTAATTAATTAATACTAAATTAAGAACAAGTTTTTAACAAAGTGATAACGACTTCCCATGGGCTTGTCTTGGAAAGTAAAGTTATTATAAGGAATGCTTATGATTAGAAATTGACCCTCTGAGGTTCTTTTTCTATATTTAGCTGATATCTATATTTTGTTTTCTAAGCAGCCGCATTTTGCAATATGTTTAATTTAAAAATTATATATAGAGAAAAGGAAAAATAACATAATAATTATCCTATTACTTAATTTTTTTTGCTTAAAAAGTAACGCTATACAAAATTTAATACTTATTTATTTGTATGGTTTATAATTAAGATCGCGTATTGTATCTTTGGCGTCAAAGTGCATTATTATTGCATTCACTACATTATTAATGAAGAACGGGGGCGCGATAAAAATTGTGATTGAAAAGGGGGGCGCCAGCATTGAAAGCTTGAGAAGCACTGGTTTACGAGACCAACGCTCTAGCCACTGAGCTATAGCGGCTGCAGGAATCGTTCACTTTTTTTGAAAACGAAAAAATCCAACATGAATGGAGTTTAAGTAAAAGAAGGCTGTGACGGTTCGAAAATAAAACGCATACACTGCCGCCAACAAGATTCAGACTTGCGACCTTTGGTTTTACACGAGACCAACGCTCTAGCCACGGAGCTATAGGGGCTGCTGCAGGAGGTGGATTCACTTTTGAAAAGCAAAAATCCAACATGAATGGAATATAGTAAAAGAATGCTCCGAAAACGAACACATACACTGCCGCCAAAGGATTCGAACTTGCGACCCAACGGGTTTTACGAGACCAACGCTCTAGCCACTGAGCTATAGCGGCTGCAGGAATCGTTCACTTTTGAAAACGAAAAAAATCAACATGAATGGAGTTTAAGTAAAAGAAGGCTGTGACGGTTCGAAAATAAACACATACACTGCCGCGAACAAAATTCGAACTTGCGACCTTTGGTTCACGAGATAACGCTCTAGCCACTGAGCTATAGCGGCTGCAGGGATCGTTCGCACTGAAAACGAAAAAATCCAACATGAATGGAGTTTAAGTAAAGAAGGCTGTGACGTTTCGAAAATAAGGCGCATACCAGCAAGATTCGAACTTGCGACCTTTGGTTTACGAGACCAACGCTCTAGCCACTGAGCTATAGCGGCTGCAGGAATCGTTCACTTTTTTTGAAAACCAAAAAAATCCAACATGAATGGAATATAAGTAAAAGAATGCTCCGAAAATGAACACATACACTGCCGCCAACAAGATTCGAACTTGCGACCTTTGGTTTACGAGACCAACGCTCTAGCCACTGAGCTATAGCGGCTGCAGGAATCGTTCACTTTTTTTGAAAACGAAAAAAATCCAACATGAATGGAGTTTAAGTAAAAGAAGGCTGTGACGGTTCGAAAATAAACACATACACTGCCGCCAACAAGATTCGAACTTGCGACCTTTGGTTTACGAGACCAACGCTCTAGCCACTGAGCTATAGCGGCTGCAGGAATCGTTCACTTTTTGAAAACGAAAAAATCAACATGAATGGAGTTTAAGTAAAAAAAGAAGGCTGTGACGGTTCGAAAATAAACATACACTGCCGCCAACAAGATTCGAACTTGCGACCTTTGGTTACGAGACCAACGCTCTAGACACTGAGCTATAGCGGCTGCAGGAATCGTTCACTTTTTTTGAAAACGAAAAAATCCAATATAAATGAGTTTAGTAAAGAAGGCTGTGACGGTTCGAAAATAAACGCGCCACACTGCCACCAACAAAATTCGAACTTGCGACCTTTGGTTTACGAGACCAACGCTCTAGCCACTGAGCTAGAGGGCTGCAGGAATCGTTCACTTTTTTAGAAAACGAAAAAAAAAATCCAATATAAATGGAGTTTAAATGTAAAGAAGGCTGTGACGATTTCGAAAATAAACGCATACACTGCCACCAACAAGATTCGAACTTTACGCGACCTTTGGTTTACGGACCAACGCTCTAGCCACTGAGCTATAGCGGCTGCAGGATCGTTCACTTTTTTGAAAACGAAAAAATCAATATAAATGGAGTTTAAATAAAAGAAGGCTGTGACGGTTCGAAAATAAACACATACACTGCCGCCAACAAGATTCGAACTTGCGACCCAGCACGGTTTACGAGACCAACGCTCACAACCACTGAGCTATAGCGGCTGCAGGAATCGTTCACTTTTTTTGAAAACGAAAAATCAACATGAATGGAGTTTAAGTAAAAGGCTGTGACGGTTCGAAAATAAACATACACTGCCGCCAACAAGATTCAGACTTGCGACCTTTGGTTACAGCCAACGCTCAGACACTGAGCTATAGCGGCTGCGAGATCGTTCACTTTTTTGAAAACGAAAAAATCCAATATAAATGGGTTTAAGTAAAGAGGCTGTGACGGTTCGAAAATAAACATACACTGCCACCAACAAAGATTCGAACTTGCGACCTTTGGTTTACAGAGACCAACGCTCTAGCCACTGAGCTATAGCGGCTGCAGGAATCGTTACTTTTGAAAACGAAAAAATCCAATATAAATGGAGTTTAAGTAAAGAAGGCTGTGACGGTTCGAAAATAAGCACATACACTGCCGCCAACAAGATTCGAACTTGCGACCTTTGGTTTTACAAGACCAACGCTCACAACCACTGAGCTATAGCGGCTGCAGGAATCGTTCACTTTTATAAGAAAACGAAAAAAATCCAACATGAATGGAGTTTAAGTAAAGAGGCTGTGACGGTTCGAAAATAAACATACACTGCCGCCAACAAGATTCGAACTTTACGACCTTTGGTTACGAGACCAACGCTCTAGACACCCAGCTATAGCGGCTGGGAATCGTTCACTTTTTTGAAAACGAAAAAATCCAATATAAATGGAGTTTAAGTAAAAGAAGGCTGTGACGGTTCGAAAATAAACGCATACACTGCCACCAACAAGATTCGAACTTACGACCTTTGGTTTTACAGGACCAACGCTCTAGCCACTGAGCTAGAGAGGCTGCAGGAATCGTTACACTTTTTTAGAAAACGAAAATTTCCAACATGAATGAGTTTAAGTAAAGGCTCGAAAATGAACACATAGACTGCCGCCAACAAGATTTGAACTTGTGACCTTTGGTTTTACAGACCAACGCTCTAGCCACTGAGCTATAGCGGCTGCAGGAATCGTTCACTTTTGAAAACCAAAAAAATCCAACATGAATGGAATATAAGTAAGAATGCTCGAAAATGAACACATACACTGCCGCCAACAAGATTCGAACTTGCGACCTTTGGTTTTGAGACCAACGCTCTCTAGCCACTGAGCTATAGCGGCTGCAGGAATCGTTCACTTTTTTTGAAAACGAAAAAAATCCAACATGAATGGAGTTTAAGTAAAGAAGGCTGTGACGTTTCGAAAATAAACGCATACACTGCCGCCAACAAGATTCGAACTTGCGACCTTTTGGTTTACAGAGACCAACGCTTTCAGCCACTGAGCTATAGCGGCTGCAGGAATCGTTCTTTTTGAAAACAGAAAAAATCAATATGAATGGAGTTTAAGTAAAGAAGGCTGTGACGTTTCGAAAATAAACGCATACACTGCCGCCAACAAGATTCCGAACTTTGCGACCTTTTGGTTTACGAGACCAACGCTCTAGCCACTGAGCTATAGCGGCTGCAGGAATCGTTCACTTTTTTTGAAAACCAAAAAAATCCAACATGAATGGAATATAAGTAAAAGATGCTCCGAAAATGAACACATACACTGCCGCTAACAAGATTCGAACTTGCGACCTTTGGTTTACGACAGTGTTTCTCAAACTGTAGGGCGCGCCCCTGGGGGTCGCGATACTCTGCCGAGGGGCGCGAGCATATCGAAAATAAAAGATTTAAAAAATAATTAATTTACTCTGGAATGAATTAAAAACAAAATACTCAGACATAGTAAAAATGTACTTTTACTCTGATATAATTTATATGCAATATAAGTCATCTCAAAATAAAAACTTCTTCAATACCTAATTAGCTAATCTTTTGATCAAAAACCAAATAAAAAACTTTTATTTTATTTGCTGTAATCTCATGATAAGTGATTTTTACTACTCTTTCAGAGAAAAACGAATCCCAGACCAGAATAGAAAAAATTTAGGAACATAAAAAATTCATCACTGTGCTTATTTTGAAATACTGGCCATTATAGCTGTAATCTGTTTTATGATATCTGTTTGACCTTCTAAGTTATTGGTACAGTTAGTTATGACTCCTCTCTCATGTGTCTGTTTCTCATTTAGGGAAGTTGTAGTAATGTATTTATTTCTGTGTTGAGCTTTTCCATGCAAAAGAGTTTTATGATATTTGGAAATCTCCGAGTACTTTGGAGGATTACTTGGCCAAGACTTTTAGCTTGGAAGTGGTCGCGCGGAACACACACAGATCCACCAGAATCGTTAATTCTGGCAAAACTGTTTATTTGTTAAAGAAAAGAGTGAAAAAGTTCTAGGAAAGTAAGGTAAGTTTACTTTCTCTTAATTAAATTATTCATTAGGAATCACGATTTGTATCGTGTACAATAAAACAGTAATTATATATATATAAGGATTGGTGTGACTCAATAATCGTATCAGTGCGCGCCTGCTAAAGGTTAAACATGTTGAAGTCTTTTCGCTTTAAATATTAAAAATAATACAATTATTCTTCATCAGATTTTTATATTGTGTTCATTATTTATAACATCAATTATAAATACTAATTCTGGCAGGCCAAAATTACAATTCGCTTAAAACTAATTATAATTGGGCAAACATTTAAAAAAAATCATTTACATTTTTGTAAACATTGACACGCTCTTGGCTTTACTCTCCTTACAATTCAGCTATTATATCAATAATGTTTTATTTTCTTATAAGATGAACTCTTGCAAGGGCACTTCAGCCGGTATACTTTTAATGTATCAGTTCTGCACGAGTATTTTATAACTGGTGATTAATACTAAAATTAAGAACAAGTTTTTAATAAATTATTAACGACTTCCATGGGCTTGACTCTTTGGAAAGTAAAGTTATTATAAGGAATGCTTATGATTCAGAAATTGACCCTCTGAGTTTCTTTCTATATTTAGCTGATATCTATATTTTTGTTTTCTAAGCAGCCACCGCATTTTGCAATATGTTCAATTTAAAAAATTATATATAGAGAAAGGAAAAATAACATAATAATTATCCTATTACTTAATTTTTTTGCTTAAAAATTGACGTATACAAAATTTAATACTTATTTATTTGTATGGTTTTATAATTAGATCGCGTATTGTATCTTTGGCGTCAAAGTGCATTAATGTACATTCACTACATTATTATTAATGAAGAACGGGGGCGCGATAAAAATTGTGATTGAAAAGGGGGCGCCAACGTGAAAGTTTGAGAAGCACTGGTTTTACGAGACCAACGCTCTAGCCGCTGAGCTATGGCGGCTGCGAGATCGTTCACTTTTTTGAAAACGAAAAAATCCAACATGAATTGAGTTTAAGTAAAGAAGGCTGACGTTTCGAAAATAAACGCGCATACACTGCCGCCAACAAGATTCGAACTTACGACCTTTGAACACGAAACCAACGCTCTAACCACTGAGCTATAGCGGCTGCAGAGATCGTTCACTTTTTGAAAACCAAAAATCAACATGAATGGAATATAAGTAAAAGATGCTCCAGTAAACGCATAAACTGCCGCCAACAAGATTCGAACTTGCGACCTTTGGTTTTACGAGACCAACGCTCACAGCCACCGAGCTATAGCAGCTGCAGTAATCGTTCACTTTTTGAAAACGAAAAATCCAACATGAATGGAATACTCGTAAAACAGGCTCTCACGGTTCGAAAAAAACACATACACTGCCGCCAACAAGATTCGAACTTGCGACCTTTGGTTTACGAGACCAAAGCTATAGCCACTGAGTTAAAGCGGTTGCAGGAATCGTTAATTTTTTTTTAAAACGAAAAAAATCCAACATGAATGGAATGTAAGTAAAAGAAGGCTCTGACGGTTCGAAAATAAACACATACACTGTTATCAAAAAGATTCGAACTTGCGACCTTTGGTTTACGAGACCAACGCTCTGACCATTGAGCTATAGATGCTGCAGGAGTCGTTCACTTTTGAAAACGAAAAAATCAACATGAATGGTTATAAGTAAAGAAGGCTCTGACGGTTCGAAAATAAGCTTACATGCACTGTTATCAAAAGATTCGAACTTGCGACCTTTGGTTTTACGAGACCAACAGTCTATACAAACTATAGTGGTTGCAGGAATCGTTCACTTTTTGAAAAAGGAAAAAATCCAACATGAATGGAATATAGAGTAAAATGCTCTTACGGTTAGGGAAATAAACACATGCATTGCCGCCAACAAGATTCGAACGACCTTTGGTTTACAGAGACCAACGCTCTAGCTACTGAGTTATAGCGGGAGTAGGAATCGTTCACTTTTTTTTGAAAAGGAAAAAAATCCAACATGAATGGAATATAAGTAAAAGAATGCTCCGAAAATAAACAAATGCACTGCCGCCAGTAAGATTCGTACTTCGACCTTTGGTTTACGAGACCAACGCTCTAGCCACTGAGCTATAGTGGTTGCAGGAATCGTTCACTTTTTTTGAAAAGGAAAAAAATCCAACATGAATGGAATATAAGTAAAATGCTCTTACGGTTAGGAAATAAACACATGCATTGCCGCCAACAAGATTCGAACGACCTTTTGGTTTACGAGACCAACGCTCACAGCCGCACAGGCTACTTATAGCGGCTGCAGGAAATCCGTTCAGGAATTTGAAAAGCTTCCAAAACGAAAAAAAAAAATCCAACATGAATGGAATAAGAGTTAAAGAACGCTCCGACGGTTCAGAAATAAACACATGCACTGCCGCAAACGAGACTCGAACTCGTGAGCTTTGGTTTACGAGACGAACGCTCTAGCCTCTGAGTTATAGCGGCTTCAGGAATCCTTCACTTTATTTGAAAACGAAAAAAATCCAACATGAATGGAATATAAGTAAAATGCTCTTACGGTTAGGAAATAAACACATGCATTGCCGCCAACAAGATTCGAACTTGCGACCTTTGGTTTACGAGACCAACGCTGTAGCCACTGAGTTATAGTGGCTGCAGGAATCGTTCACTTTTCTAAAACGAAAAAAAAATCAACATGAATGGAATATAAGTAAATGAATGCTCCGAAAATAAACAAATGCACGGCCGCCAGTAGATTCGAACACGACCTTTGGTTTACAGAGACCAACGCTCAGCCACTGAGCTATAGCGGCGCTGCGGAATCGTTCAATTGCGAAAACGAAAAAATCAACATTAATGGAATTATCAGTAAAGAATGCTCGAAAATAAACACATGCACTGCCGCCGAAGTAAAGATTCCGGAGCACTTACGCGACCTTTGGTTTTACAGACCAATGCGCTCTGCCAATGAGCTATAAAGGCTACAGGAATCGTTCACTTTTTTTTTGAAAACGAAAAAAATCCAACATGAATGGAATAAAAGTAAAAGAATGCTCCGACGATTTGGAAATAAACACATTCACTTCCGCCAACGAGATTCTAACTCACGACCTTTGGTTTATGAGAGCATAGCTCTACCTTCTGACCTATACCGGATATACCGGGTGTATTCATTTTACTGAAAAACGAAAAAAATCAAACATGAATTAAATATGGGTAAAAGAATGCTCCAATTCTTCGAAAATAACTGCATACACTGCCGCCACCGAGAATCAGACGCTCGCGCCTTTTGGTTTACGAAAACAACGCTCTGGCCACTGAGCTATAGCGGCTTCATTATTCGTTCCCATATTACTTCACAAGCAAATGGAATCAACATGACTGAATTGTGTATTAAAAAAATGCTTGGATGGTTTGGATAGATACACATGCACTGCCGCCAATGATATTCGAAAGCGGGACCTTTGGTTTACTAGACCTACGCTCTAGCCACTTAGCTGTAGCGGCTTCATGAATCGTTCAATTTACTTGAAAACGAAAAATCAACATGAATGAATTATAAGTAAAAGAAAACTTCGATGGTTCGGCAATAAACACATGCCTTGCAGCCAACGAGATTCGAGGTCGCGACCTTTGGTTTTACGGACCAAAGCTCTAGCCACTGAGGTATAGCGGCTTCAGGAGTAGAACACTTTATTTGAAAAAGAAAAAATCAACTGAATGAATTGTGTATAAAAAAATGCTGTGATGTGGTTCGGAAGATACACAATACACTTCCATAACGAGATTTGATCTTTGCGACGCTTTGGTTTGCGATCAACGGTCAAGCCACCGAGTTATTGCGGCTTCAGGACAAATTCATTTTACATAAAAACGAAAAAAATGAAACATGAATGAATTTAAGGAAAAAGAATGCTCCGATGGTTCGGAAATAAACACGTGCACTGCCACAAAAGAGATTTGATCTCGCGACTTTTGGTTTACGAAACCAACGCTATAGCCACTGAGCTTTAGCGGCTGCAGAAACAGTTGATTTTACTTTAAAACGGAAAATATCCTACATGAATGAAAGGACAAAAGAATGCTCTGATGTTTCGGAAATAAAAACATGCACTTACCAACGTGATTCGAACTCTCAACCATTGGCTGCGAGACCAACGCTCTAATGGCTTCAGGAGTATTTCATCTTACTTGAAAACGGTAAATATCAAATGTGAAATGAAAAAAGAAAAAAAAAAAAATTCTCCGATTTTTCGGAAAGAAAACATAGCACGGCCGCCAACGAGATTCGAACTCGCGACCTTGTTTTAGTAGACCAACGCTCTAGCCACTGAGTTATAGCGGCTTAAGGAATCTTTCAATTTACTTGAAAAGGAAAAAAATCAACATGAAGGGAACAAGAGTAAGAGAATTCTCCGAAGGTTCGGAAATAAACACATGCACTGCCACCAATGAGATTCGAACTCGCGACCTTTGGTTTACGAGACCAACGCTCTAGCCCCTGAGCTATAGCGGCTTCATTCGTTTCTCTTGGAAACGAAAATTATCCAACATGAATGAAATAAGGGTAAAAGAATGTTCCGATGGTTCGGAAATAAACACATGCACTGCCGTCAACGAGATTTGAACTCGCGTCCTTTGTGTTACGAGACCAACGTTCTCGCCACAGATCTATAGCGTCTTCGTTATTCTTTCATTTTTCTCACCAACAGAAAATTTCTAACATAAATAAAATAAACTTAAAAATGTGGTTTTAAAAATTTGAAAATTTTTTCGTCCTTTCACTAACAACAATTCGAAAATTCCAGCTTTGTTATCTTTAACTGAAGTTTTTTCTTATTTCTATGACGCACTGATTCTGAACCACTGTGCGGCAGCTCTTCATTGTGGCGCCAAATTTGTTTAAAATGTATAATTGTAAGATATAAAAAAGATCCGTCCTGCGGCAGCCTTGTTTTCAAAATAACTGGTTTTCCATGGTTTCTTCCAATACTTCCAAGTATCGGTTCGATGTTCTTTAAATATATCGAAATCTTAAACGTTGTTTCTTTGTTGTGATGTGAAAATTTTGAGAGGTTGTTCTAGCTCAGGTTTCGTTCTCGTCACTTGACTATGGTTTAAGAATACGAGATTTGCGGCAAGTGATTGAGTGAGTGAAAAAAGCGTTAGGCTGTTCCGCTACATGAGCTTTTCGCGACGGACCTCATAATTTTGAACTTTGTTCAAGTAATGAGGGCGACACCTGAGCTGGCATCCTTCTCTCGTAACTACCATACCATACCAATCGAGGAGGACGTTTGAGCTCTCGAAAGATTTAACGTTCATCGCGCCCTTACATGTCGAGTCTTTAGTGGTACTCAAACTCGTGACATGGCAGTCACGATCCTATGCCTTGAACACTAGGCTACCGCGGTCACGAAGTCCGCGGCAAAATTCCTCATGTAGTGCGACGCTAACATTCCCACATTCAAGGAGAAAAAAAATATATAAAATTCATTGTAGAATCTTTCGGCCTTTTAATACTCGTAGAAATAAATTATGGGTGTTTGTGGTATATTTAACTTATCCTTTCTTGGATAGATGGATATAATGAAATTTTGTTGGGTTTGTAATTCATTTGTGATGCGGATACATCTGTATATGAATTAAGAGGAAAAACAAATTTTCTTAAAAAATCGAGATTTAATTTCTCAAAACATTCGATGGAGTCAATCAATTTATTTTGGATTAAAATTGGAGGCGAATATAAAAACGTATTGTTTATTACAATTTTCTGCATCTTCTTTACGTGATTTCGGATTTTCAGCATTAACAAATATATATTTTTTTATTTTTTATGTGCTACGGATTGGTGTTTTACCGTTGTAGACCTAGTACTGAGACATAGCCATCCTTTTATGACCATGTCTTGCCCGGGTTTCCCGTAAGCTAGAGGTGTGGGATTATCAAAATGAAGAGACATAATTTTAATACAACTTTTATTAAGAATAACTTATATTACTAAATTCTAATTTTGACAATTATTAATTAAAGTGAGAGTCAAGCCCGAATTAAATCACGTATTTAAGTCAGATCACGCAACTAGATCCTCTATCTCAATTATCCTAAATAATCCTGTTTATCTAATTACTTATATCTAATATTACCTTTTCCAGTTCTGGTCCCTTGACCTTTGAGAATATAATCTATAACTTTATGTATGAAGATTCTTGATCCGCAATGCAGCTAATTCTTGACTGCTTATTCTTGGTCCGCAAGATTTCACACTAAATTTGTCACGCTATTGATCAGAATGATTCCACACTACAACCTCACCTGGGGCTATGCTATATCTAGGTTTGCCACCCTATCCTTTATGTTATTTTCATTTACATGTTACATTCGTTTATCTTCTTGGTATTGGGTTGGAAAGGTTTTTCCATTAATCG